GTCCACTTTAAGGGTTAGGGTTAGTGCTAGGGAGTTATGGGAATTGTTGTTTTTTTCCCCCCTTGAGACATTGAGCCTTCTCTGTCAAAGAGCACTGGTGCCACAATAAAATACAGTTCCCATGATTCCTTAACCCTTAAAGTGGACTCAATTTGCACTATTTCTAGCAGTCTGCAAAGGCCCATACAGGCCATGCTTCTCAGTCATGTCCACGATGGAAGACATGAATGGCACTATTCCTCCCGGACAGGAAGGGTTGGACGCGTCCGGGAAAAGGAGGACCTGCCTAGCCACCCTGGTGACCTTGGAAAGACTGCTCTTAGGAACCCCATGTTGCTCTCCACCTCCACCCCCACCACCCAATATTGGATCTCTTGCCTCATGAGCAAGGTGACCATTTTTGCGCAAAATAAAGGGCCTTGAAAGAAAAATGGAGAAGCTGACCAAATCAAAGCCTAAAAACACTCATTGAAATGTAAACGTAGGCTTCTTAGGTATGCACAAAAATGGAGGACATCATGGAATTCCTCCTGGGCAGAAAGCTTGAAATGTAGGACCTGTCCTGGAAAGGGAGGACCCCTGATCCCCCTGAGTTTGGATGTTCTGGCAAAAGACATGCCTAGGAGACACGGTGACCAGATAGCATCCTTTTCTAGGACTTGTCCTACATTTCAGCCTTCTGTCAGGAGGAATAGCACAACTCAGAAACTTGAATTTACGAGTGTTTTGAGCTTTTGTTTGACCATGTCGCTCATTTTTCTTGAAAGGCGTACATTTGGTGGTGCCTTGTCCTCCTTTGCGGTGAGAACATCTGGTCACCCTGCCAGGAGAGCATATCCTCCAGCATTTCACCACCAAAAAACAACCATGTGGCCAAGCAACACAAGAGTGAGGTTCAGGGGCAGAAGTTATTGAGGGGGAGCACATGTGTGGAAAGTGTGTGTACATGTGTGTGTTAACTGCCTCCAGTTGCCTGAATCATGGCAACCATGTGGATGAGACATCTCCAGGCCACCCGTCCCCACTGCTCTACTCACGTCTTGTAGATTCTAGCCATCTAGCATACAGTCTTCCTCTCTTTCTACTACCCTCTGTCTTTCCAAGCATCATTTTTTTTTCTAGTGAGTCATGCCTTCTCATGATATGGCCAAAGGACAACAGCCTCAATTTGGTCATCTTGGCTTCCAGGGAGTATTGATACTTGATCTGATCAAGGACCCATTTGTTTGCCTTTTTGGCCATCAAGACCATCCTCAGCACTCTTCTCCAGCACCACATCTCAAAAGAGTTGATTTTCTCCCTATTCACTTTCTTCATTGCCCAGCTTTCACATCTGTACATGGAGATGGGAAATATAATCTGGAAGGCTATATGATACCCTGAGCCAGCATGGTGTAGTGGTTTGAGTGTTGGACTATGACTCCGGAGACCAGGGTTCAATTCCCTGCTCAGACATGAAACCCACTGGGTGACCTTGGACAAATCACACACTCTCAGCCTCAGAGGAAGGCAATGACAAACTTCCTCTGAACAAATCTTGGCAAGAAAACCCCATGATAGGTTTGCCTCAGGGTTGCCATAAGTTGGAAATGACTTGAAGGTACACAACACACACACATGCAAGATACCCAGCTTTAATGTAGTGGTTCTCAGACTTCGGTTTAGTACTGTGTCCTGTGTCCATGTCCTGTGACGAGGGATGTTGGGAGTTAAAACACCTGGAGGACCAGGGCTGGAGAGCCACTGTTTTCATGCAATCAAGTAAAATGTCACAGAGTAGTGAGTCAGTTTTTGTGTATTTCAATATCTGGGATGAGATGCTTTGAAGAAAAATTCTGGACAACTCAGAAGCTTGCTTACTGAGGACATTATAGCACATTATAACTCAGCCTTGCCACAATCGTGTTAGTAAAAATGGAAATATACTGATTTAGGAGCATTCATTACCACACATCTCTGCAATAGTTCCACCAAGCTGTTCATGTGATTGATGGTCCCTGCTCTATTCTTCATTCATCCTCAGCCCCACCTTCCTGCCCTATGCCCTACCCAATGCACCTTTTGTTTTATTAATTTTAATTTATAAGACAATTGTTAAGTTAGGTTAATGAGACTATAGAAAAAGAAAAAGAAAAAAAGAAAGTAGGGGCAGAGAAACAGCCAGCTTGGGAACAGCGAGGGGGAAGAGGAGACTGGCATCACATGACTGCTCAGTATCAGAACTACAGCAGGAGGAAAATATCACACCCGTGGTGTAATGGGAAAGTGACAATATTAGGAGTTTATTGACAGGTTTTCATATCAATGAGAAGGGATGCTTGTACTAAGGGTTTGAAAATAAAGCAACGACAAGCAGTGGAGTCACTAGGGGGGATGCAGGGTGTGTGGAGTGCACCAGGTGACACCCTAAAGGGAGAGGACACCATTGCTCCTCAAACATCCAACATTTTAGCCAAAATAGGCTGTGGCATTCACCTGCTTCCCTTTAAAATGATTTAAAAGATGGCGGGAGTGGGGTGAAGCTCAGTGGGAGGAGAAAAGAGAGGCCCCAGAAT